CACACACACACACACACACACACACACACACACACACACACACACACTGTGTCCTGTACAAATGGAGGCGCGCGCGCGCACACACACACACACACACACACACTGTGTCCTGTACAAATGGAGGCAGAGCTTAGAGTGGCCTGGATCTGTGTGTTGTCTCAGTTCTGGGTGCTCCCATGAGCCTACAGAGACTGCAGGGTCTTCCTGAACATTGCCTGAGGAGGAAAGAGGGACTCAGACTAGTGCCCCGCCCTCCTTCTAAACTCTGCTGGGCTCTCCCACTCCCCCTGGAAGGCTTCCCCTGCTTACTTCTGCCCTGCAAGTTGACCCCTGCCTTTTCAAGTGCCACCTGCCGCTGTGAACTTGAATGGGTTCCTCTGTTCTTTGCACAAGGGCAGAAATGTCTGCCTGGGCTGCAGCTTGTCCTAGTGGCTGGGACTTTCCTGACACACAGCTCCCCCCACCTGCTGTGGAGTGGTCTCACTGACATCTGGGCAAGTGACGGGAAGAAGCCACAGCCCCAGTTCTAAAGGTTCACAGTGACTGGTGTTGAGACAGACCCGCCTTCTGCGGGTGGACTTTGGCACTGGCCTCGGTTGTGCTTTTATAGACATTACCTGTTGTGAGGGGCTCGACTTTCACCCTCCTGCCCAGCCAGTGTGGCAGTGCATTTTTTATTCTTTACATTTTACTTATATTTTATTCATGTTATTTCTTGTTCAGTTGAAGATATACTTCTTTCTGGGTGTGCCTGTGGCACAAGAGGCTTTCTGAAGGAAGTCACTCAGGCGACGGCCTGGAACTGGGGCAGGCTGCAAGGAGGCATTTTCTTGAGCCCTCAGTATGTCATCCATGAGGGATGGGGTGGGCTCTGGGATCTTGTTCTTGACTCCTTCCAGAGCTGAGACCAGAATGAGGCAAACTCAAACTCTGAACCCTAAACACCGCCTCCCCAACCCCCTTCTTCTCACCCCATGCCACGTCAGTGTTGCACAGCTCTGCTTAGAATCATGTTTCCACTATAAAAGCAATATTTGTTTCACTGTAGGAAGTAATTAAATCACAAATTTTTTTAAGGAAAAGAAAAATCACTCACCCCAGAGATAACACTGCTAATATTTAATACCTGTCCTTGCAGTCCTTTTTAAAAAAAAAAAAAAAAAAAAAAAACCTAATATTGATAGACACAGATGAGGAAAGTCCCAGACATTAAGTCAAGTCACACGCCCACGTCCCCAGGCTTCTGACTCATAGAGCTGGTGTGGAAACTGATCTGGCTGGTTCTGAAGCCCCTGCTTTTCCATTTCACCGCTGACTTGGAGGAGAGAAAGGACCCTGAAATATTGTTTAGTTCAATACTCGACTCTCTGGTCAAAGAGCTTGTAGTGACACACACATACAAGAAATAAGGACTGAGGTCAGCTAGGCATTCCCTCTGAGGAATCAGTCATTCACCATGCTCTCAAAAACAGCTTATGCAAAATATGATCTCTTAACAGCATGGTATTCAATTCCCTGATTAGGTTTAAGTCAGAAGGCAAACACCTCAAGGACAAGTGTTTGCAACCAAAAAGGCAACAACAGCACCCTGGACCCTCGAGTTGGGACATTCCGATGTGCACACGCATCTGTAAGCACAGAGGCACTCTGAAGATAATCTACAGAAGCAAACGTTCTTTCTGTTTTGTCTCTACATCAAAGGAAGGAAATCGTCACATGGAAAACAGGAACAAATAATTTATAACCCATTTCTGTTCGGTCTGAGAATGAAACGAATACCCTCACACCCTATCACAAGCACCCTTCACCCCTCCCTTCCTGCTTAGAGGAGTTAACAACTGGGCTTCCCGGAGCTCCCATCCGACTCAAACCCTCAATCTTGACTGTGCCTAGAAGACCCAAGAGGACTCTGGCCCCACTGCTCGTCTCTCATCTCATCTTCTGCAATTCTTTTTGCTCTCTCCGTGATCATCATACTGGCTTCTTGATCCTTGAACATGCCAAGGGCTCTTCCATTAGAGAACCATAGAGTTCTCTTCCTCACTTCCTTCAGGTGTCAAAGAAAAATATTGTTTCAGGACCCTCCAAGTTTATTACACCCAGAGGGATGTTAAACCCTGAGACTGACTCACACCACCTGTTTCCAATTCTGAGAGAGGAACTCTCTTCCCCATTGTTCCCCTTCTGTGAATGACTAGGAGAGACAAGAGACCAGGCCTTCCCCACTACCAAACCCATATCTTTGTTATGGATTAACTGCCTCCTTTACAGGTATTGATCGGCTTACGACCTATGCAACTTACGACCATTCGACTTTATGACCACAATCGCTAGCCACAACTGCTCCGCGTCTGGCAGCGCAAACATTGCCCACCTGGGTGTACGACAGTGCGGACCAGCTTCTGGCAGCACTACCATCTCTGTGTGCACCATTTCAACTGTACATATAGCCTACTCAACTTACAACCAAATCGTGTTATGACCGGTCTCCCGGTCCCAATCGTGGTCGTAAGTCGAGCACGGGCTGTATTGTCCTGTACCTAACTCAGACCAGATGACACCTGAGATGCAAGACTGTTAAATCTTCAGTGAGGAAGGTTAAATCTACCTTTCCCAAAAGAAAAAGACCACCTCGACTTACTAGATCATTTAAACAATGCATTAAACCTTACATAGGAAGATGCTGACATTCTATTAGGCTTTCCCAAGCTTCCTCTGTGTAAAGGATCCCAAAATTCACTTTGGAACACAGACTTCCCTTCTGTGGAACCTGGGCTTCCTGGACAGGCCTGTTCTCAATCTTTGTGCTTGAATCAACTCTGTTTAAGGTAGATTCTGACCTTCTTCAGTCCTTTAGGTTAACACAGGTCTCTGGTGAAATGCCTCCTTATCGGAGAGGACATCTCTGTCACCTCACCCTCATACACTGCTCAGCCCCTCCCCTTGCTTTATTTTCTCCATGATGCTTCCCTCACATGGATGTCCTTGTTGAGGGCCTGCTCCCTCTCCTTGGCTAGAATGTAAGTTGCACAAAGCCAGGGACATCAGCTTAATTCGGTGCGGTGTCTCCAGGGCTTAGAGAAGCACCTGGCACACAGGAGGTTTTCAATAATTAAGAAATTAAACCGCAAGGGCGGGAGTCGGCAGAAGTGCACTCTTTATAACAGGTATTGGTGTTTGGCTATTCGTGCTAAGGAAGGCCATGAAAGGTGAGTTCAAATTTTGCTTCTGATACACATTGGCAGCATCAGCTCTTCTTTCTCCATAGCCACAAGTCCCACGCCCTACCTCTTTTCTTTCTCAGGGCTTTGGGAAGATGAAAGAACGATGTTAGGTAGAGAACATGGGCTATGGAAAGAGCCCGGAATTGGAGATTCTCTTACTGGTTTTCCCAGTCATTCTCTATGTGACCTCGGACAAATGGCTCAGCCTCTGAAATGGGTAGGGTTGGAAGTTAGGATGGGTAAATGAGAGTGAACTGGCAGTCTGGTGTCTGGATGAGTTGCTCAGGCCCTCTCTGTTCTAAACAGCCTCGGAATCTCTTTTATCTTAGAAATTTGTGCCTAGCTTGCATTTTACCCTGTAATTTGTCCACTACAACTTTTTTTAAATGTTTCAATTTAAAAGAATATGATTTTAGAAATACACGCCAAAACAGTTATAGATGAAACAATAAGAAGTCTGAGACCTGATTCACAATAATCCTGGCAGGGAGACAGTGTAGGTAAGGAGACAGAAAAACACAGGTGGCGCTGAGTTGCTGGAGCTGGGGAATGAGCACGCGGGAGTTTGTGACACCACTTTCTATACTTCTGTAGAGCACTGAAAACACAAGTGAAAATCGTTGCAGCCCTAAAAAAAACAAGATCATGTATTTTTCAGGGACATGGATGGAGCTAGTTGATAATACTCAGCAAACTAACAGAGGAACAGAAAACCAAATACTGCTTGATCTCACTTATAAGTGGAAGCTAAATGCTGAGAACACATGGACACATGGAGGGGAACAACACACACTGGGGCCTATCAGAAGGTGGAGGGTGGGAGGAGAAAGAGGACCAGGAAGAATAATTATTGGGTACTGGGCTTAGTACCTGGGTGATGAAATAATCTATACAACAAACCCCGGTGACACGTGTTTACCTATATAACAAGCTTGCACATATGCCAATGAACTTAAAATAAATGTAAATAAATAAAAAGAAAACAAAAGAAAATTTTAAACCACCTAGAGAAAGATCACCTACAAAGGAACAAAAATTAGAATGACCCCGAACTTCTTAACAGCAACAAAGAAAGCCGGAATACCATACTATATGATACCTTCAAAGTGCCAAGGGAAAACAATTGTCACTCTAGAATTGAGTCGACAGCGATGTTTCAAGAATGACAGTAAGATAATGTTTCAAACAAAAACTAAGGGAGCACACCATCAACATAAGAGCACTAAAGAAACTTTTAAAATTTGACTGTGGGCTGTAGCGGAGTTCTCCAGGCCCTGTTCCGGCCGGTCCGCAGAGCTTATAGCTTGCAGTGAACGCCAAGAATGAAGTACTCAGACACTTCCAGCTGAGCAGGGCTGGAGGTAGCTCTTCTGAGAAGAGTCTGCCCCAGCATCTGTCTTCCAAGTATTTGTTGAAAGGGCTTGTATTAACTACAAACATCCACTAGATGGCCATTTGAGGTGGGCTAATGAGGCGCGTGTGACCTTGTACACACTCAAACTGTATCCTCAGGAGGCTGTTTTCAGCGTTCCTTATCACACCACACACTCCACTCCCTGTCTTGTTTTCAAGGTCAAGGAGTTTATTCTCACGCACAAATAACCTACACACAGTGCCTCAGTATTTTTCCATGCCTGATCTCAAATGCCTTATACATTTGCTGTGCGCCCCCAACATGGTCTGGAGCTGAGCCCCTGAACGTGGGCTGGGTGTTGGGGCCCAGCCATGCTGGCTGTCTTTCTGTCTGTTCCAGCCACACATCTGCGGCCCCCTGTGGTCTGTACCCAGACGTGGGCTGACTGTGGACCCTTTGTCCTCCTGCCCGCCGTGTCTGTTTCTTAGCTCATGCCTAGGTCTGGGTTTCCCACGCCTGCCCTGCTCTGGTGATTGAAAATGACTCTAGCCTGGGGTGCAGCCTCATCGTCAGCGCTCAACATGAGGCACCTCCTGTGTTCCTCAGGGCACATTTACCTTGAGCTCTTTCAGGTCTCGAGAAGCAGTGATGTGCTCGGGTCACCTCAGGGCGGGGGGCTTGTGGTAAGGTCAGGCACAGCAATGCGGGCGTCAGCCTAGCTCAACCTCTAGAGAACTGGAGCACCACGGGGCTCAAAGGGGCCTGGGGTCAAACACCGACGTCTGTGGGACTTGGCTCTGTCTCTGCTCCTAGCCCCACTGTCTCTTCGGTCTCCTGCAGCTTCATGCCAGCCGCCATGTGTCTTCTGGCTTTTGTTTTGCTCTCTCTTGAAACCGCTTCTTCTGACTCCCTGAGAGGGAGCATGTGATTGGACTCGCAGGACTGAGTCCCCCAAGGTGGCTGCTGTCGGCTCAGGCACAGCCCCACATGAAGCCCATTGCCAGGGTGTTAGTACCACAGGGAGCAAAAGAGGCCAGGCCACGGCTCCCGTCTAAGTCAGAATCACTCACTCCAGAGGGGCAGTATTTAAAGTTTGAAGGGAATGAATTACCGACGTTAACGAAAGGCCGCCTTATGTGAATGTGCTTTGGAGGAAGGAGTGTCGGGGTCTGGAAAGGAAGAGAAATCAGCCACAAAGGAAGCCCTTCATGGCCAGCCCTTGAGGACAGGGGAGGAGCAGGGACCATGGAAGAGAGGGTGGATGAGAGTGCCATGTTGGCATTTCTCAAGTGGGAGACCAAGTTTAAAGAGGGGCTTCCAGCCCCTCACCAAAAGCACCAGATGAATTAATGCACCTTTGGTGGCTTCAGGTTGGGAGTGGAGAATGGGCGTGAGGGACGGGGCCTTCTAGCTTGGGCATGACGGGCAGAAATCCGGAGGTGAAGAGGGTCTGCAGACAGGATGGAGTGAAGGGGGAGCCACTTCAGAAGTGGGTCTGTCCTCACTTCTGCTCTGCCCCCCCCTTCCCTCCAGTGAATTAACTCGAACCCTTTCCCTTTGCCACCTTGATCAAAGAACCTGATATTCACAAAGCTTGAGGTGGGCTTTAAACACTTGCACCAGAGCAGGCTGCCTGGCCACCACCCCAGTGTGCGCAGAGGCAGCAGTGGAAGCAGCCTGTTCTCTGGCCTCTGTCCCAGGAGACCTGGCCAAGGGCCTTCACCTCAGAACCCTCCCCCAGGATTGGAGGGTCAGCAGCAGGTGGGGTTGAGCCTACTAAACTAATTTGGCTTGGTCCTCCTGGCTCTTAATTGCTCTTTAACTAGTGGCCAAAAAGTGGGGTGAGGGAGGGGGACTGCATTTCCATTTTCAACATATGAGACATGAACCTCCAAGAGGTCAGGTGACGTATCTGCCAGTGCCCCGCACCACACCCCTCAGTGACACAATAGTTGGGACAGGGCTGCATGAGGCCCTGGAAACAGGACGTTCCTTTGACCATGTGGTCCCAGGTCTATCTCTAGCTCTGTCTCTTTGCTAGCTGTGTGACACAGGGGAAGGCCCTTAAGTTCTCTGAGCCTGAGTTCACATCTGTAAAATGAGGATAATAAGTCCCACCTCACAGGGAAACTCTGAAGCTCAAGCAGGAAGGCAAATACAAACTGTTTAGCCCAACTCCTGGCCCCTAGCTAGGTTCTCAGTAAGTGTGCTTTCCTTCCTCATTTAAACCACATCCAAGTACTCCAGGGCTGCCACACCATGCGCCACCCCTGAGCGGGAAATGGCAGCCTCCCGTTGCCTGCAGTTCTTCCGGCCCCAAGGTTCTTGATGCCCCAGACTATGATCTCTCCGGGGATGGTTCATTTAGAAAATGGAGCCACGAAATGAAGTGTTTATGACATTTTTCTGGATCATGGACCCCTTTGAGAATCTAATGAAAGCTATGGATCCCCCTCCTAAGAAAAATAACCTATTAGCTGGGTGCGGTGGCTTATGCCTATAATCCCAGTACTTGACGAGGCCGAGGTGGGCAGATCACAAGGTCAGCAGTTTGAGACCAGCCTGGCCAACATGGTGAAACCCTGTCTCTAATACAAATACAAAAATTATCTGGCATGGTGGCGGGTGCCTGTAATTCCAGCTACTTGGGAGGCGAGGCAGGAGAATCACTTGAACCCAGGAGGCAGAGGTTCAAGTGAGCAGGGACCACAGCCTGGACAACAGAGTGAGACTCTGTCTCAAATAAATAAATAAATAAATAGAAAAATAACCTAACACATTATAACTAACCCCATCGTAGCGTTTCACAGGACACTCTTGTCAGCAAAGATGTTTTGTTTAATAAACAAACAAAAAGGCTTGTTCAACCAGATAAAACACAAACAAGCATACCCTTCCACTATCAGTTCTTGCCAGCAGACTCTAATTATAAAAGATTAGGCCTTTGGATATATACCCAGTAATGGGATTGCTGGGTCAAATGGAATTTCTATTTCTAGGTCCTTGAGGAATCACCACACTGTCTTCCACAATGGGGAGAAATGCCAGATATAGGCGAGGGGGAGGAAGGCAGCAAATCACACTGCCACGTGTGTACCTATGCAACAATCTTGCATGTTCTTCACATGTACCCCAAAACCTAAAATGCAATTTAAAAAAGAATAAAAATTTTCTCTTTATAATTCCTATTAAAAAAAAAAAAAAGATTAGGCCTTCAGCAGCTCAAAACCATCTTCACTGACACCGTTTTGCAATCACTCATGATGAAAACTTGGTGTTTGCTGCCTCAGGCCCTGCCTCCTCAAAGGCGTTTCCGTGCAAGACCGACAAAGCTCCCAGCCCAGACCAGGATTCCTTTTGTCTCCTTTACCCCCCTGGACTGGTTCATTTACGCTTTCTCCTATCTCTTTTCCTCTTGATGTTAATATGACTTTGTTGGGGAATGTTTAACCTATTACACTGATATATTCATTAAGCATGCTAATATATACGGTTTGCAGTACTGACTGACTTGTAAAGTGTCCTAAGCCTGTGTGTGCACAGCCCTGACTCCTGAGTGAATGGGAAGTAGTAAGTACCAAGGAGAACTGCCTGCTTGGGAATTCCATGGAGCTCGTGGCTTTTGTGATTGAAATCAAGTCAATAAAAGCCTGACATTGTGGAAAGACACAAGCATGCGTGGACCTTGTTATTTCTAACTTTGCAACAGTCGTGACACACTGGCATATCCACCAGCCACACTGTTTTCTATAGAATTTGAAGCAACTCCCAGAAACTCTGAAACCACAAGCACAACTCCTCTCCCAGGTGGAAGGGCAGGACCTGTGAGTACACGTTCAGCATCAGGAGCAATTTGTCGTGCAGCCTGATCATCCCCCAATTCACCAACAGCCTTTTCTTCCCAAAACGACCGGGACCATCCTTCTGAATCACCCACAGGTGAGGGTGAAAGGCGTGGGAATGGGACAGTGGGGAAGCTGACCTTGCGGGGCAGGGTGCAGGGGAGAGCTGGCTTGGCCTGGAGGGGAGCAGTGAGGAACCCATCAGAAGAGGACAAATGCCCTGAGCACCTGCCTTTTCTTACCCCCTTGACTAAGGATTGAACAAGAGGAAAAAAAAAAAAAAACAACTCACCAGACAGAATTGAAACCCTTTAGCCACGAAATCGGATGCACAACAGAACAGCAGCTGGGGTTCTCTTAAAGGCTTTAAACACATAGGGCAGATGTGTCTTTTCTTGGTGTGGCCGAGGTCCTAGCAGTATAAGGGATGGGAGCTCTGGCC